AAAATTAAAAAATTCATAACACAGTCAAAATTCTTCTTCAACAGATCAATATCTAGTCAATTTTATCTGTTTAACCGTATTCTGTAGTAGAAATTAGTATTGAAATATTCCCTTATCCTGAATGCTTTCTAAAACATCTTTCAAGATCCGACGTACTTTCTGTTGGTTTTTGAAACTGTTATTGAATTTCATGGTGTCGGATAAAGTCGAGTAGATATTGGTCTTTTGAAGAAGTTTGGAACAATTTTGACTGTGTTATGAATTTTTTAATTTTCAGTGCAAATAGTGAAAATGGATTATTCCGTCTAGTATAGGCTTTCACCAGCTTTATGAAGCTTTTTCGAAAAACTAACACTGCCACGCGATTCAGTGTGGTCGATAACCTATGTTCCATGTGTTTAGGAAGTTCCCAAACATGAAGTTTAGTCGATAGATAGGCCCTCGGAAGAATCTTATGGCGTCCGAATCGTGGTAGATAGAACTTTGCGAGTTGCGTAGTTTTGTAGAGCGAAGTCCGATGGTTCGAACAACCATCTTAAAAGTCAAAATCCATCTTGTTTTCGGTGTACGGGAATCTCCTAGATTTTCACTCAAAAGGTACACTATGAAAGACCCTTTGCGAAAATCCGATTTTTTCATAGAATCATATTCCAAACAGTCCTCTATCTAATACTGAAAACCGAAGCTATCTAACTCTTTTCGTTCAAGATTTATTCAAAAAACATTCACGATCATTCTCTTTTGAAAAAATAGTAGGTTTTTCACTTCGTTCAAAGATCTCAGCAAAAAATATGCTTATTTTATTTTTCGAAAAGATATCCTGATAAATATTCTAATTCTTCCCGATCAGTCGCTACGATTTTGTAATAAGAGAAGAAATGAGGGGAAGGGTACTCTTAAGTTAAATGAAAAATAAACTTCACAGAGAATAAATTTTCAAAAAAATTTTGCGAGAATACCATGATAATTCCGTGGAATTCTGTTACGAGATTTTTTTAAAAAGTCATTATAGTACCACTGGGATATATAAGCGAAAAAGTTATGATAGCACATCTATATATGCATTCTTGTCATGTAAAAAACGCAGAGAGAACACACAAATGAACATAAAAGAAAGACAACAGCAAAAAGAGTATTTCTCTAATACAAAAAAAGCTAAAATTTTTTCAAAATATAACAAAAATATATAGATTTATATTTATAAAGGAAAAGCTGAGAAAGAAAAGAAAGCTCCAGGCAAAGGTCGCAAAAACTCCATTGTTCATATTTCTCTTTGATATTCAATAAGCCTAATATCGATCGATTTCGTAGGATCATTTCGTGGAGATTATCACATGAAACTCCATTTCGATGAAATATTTTTGATCACAGTCTTTCGTCATCCGAAATAAATGTGGGATTTGTTGCATCATATGGTCTGTAGCTTTCATCGAATGCCTGAGTATTTATGAAGGGTTGAACTGGTGACACTGCCGATAATGTGTGATTATCATTTCGAAAACGTGGTGATGATTGATAACCATTACTATTTACAGAGGCTGATATTGTCGGAATTGGTTTATAATTATTGTTACTATTATCTTGCAACTGATGAATCGGTGCAAACGATGGTGCCACATTGTTTATGCGGTTAGATGTGGCTGTTGTAGTTACTGTATAAGGAATATTGGCTGCTGAATTAGTGACCGTAGTAGTAGTAGTAGTAGTGTTGTTCGCATGATAGTCACGGGGAACAGGTATACAGTAAGCTGTTAATATATCAAGATTGCATAACGGACAGTGTCTTTTATCTAAGAGCCAAGGATCAACGCAATCTTGATGAAACGCATGTCCACATACTGAAAAACAAATAACAATTAAAGATTATAAACAATTACTCTTCACATCACGAAAATCGTGAATAAACTCTCATAGAGAACGATGATTGGAAATTAAAGAACAGGTTGAATATTCATTACTACACTATTTTTCGGACGTTCTCTATTTGCAGTTAAAATTGATAGCTGTTATTAAACTTACCAAGTTGTCTTAGAACATCACCACTTTTTACTAAGTCCAAACATATCACACATGTTTGTTCGGGTTGTGGTTCTTCATTGACTGACACTAATGATATTTTATTAAGAGCAGTTTTCGCTGCTTTTTCTAATCGTCGTTGAAGACGATCTTTAGCCGTACTTGTTCTTCTTCTTTGACAATAGTAAAATATTAACCATGATAAACAAAGACATATTAATATACAGACAGATGCTGCTATAAAAATTGTTGCTGATTCACTGCCAAAAAATATATCAGGATTGGAATCAGTTTTTGTTGTTTGAATTGTTATGTTTAATTTCGTTTGATTATCAGTTGCGAGCATTAAAAGTTGTCCACCTGTTTGACGTGATATAAAAATTGATACCATATCCGAACAATTATTAACCATATCGTATAACTTATTGTCCGCAGTTGGATCAAAAATGAGTACAGCTGCAAATAATATAAAGAGATGAATGTCTTATTATTTGTAATGAATGGTATAATTATTTACCTTGTGCACCATAATTTTTTGCTCGTTGAATTTTTATTGAAAATGTACAATTAATTCCACCACGTGTTATTATCGCAATCCAAGGAGGAGTCTTAGGAGGGTATGTCGACGGATCTGTACATGCATCGTAAGAACCCGAAGAAGAAATTAATACATGTGCTGGACCGTCTATGTCTTTCACTGCTCCATCCGATGATACAAGACCATCAGACACATGGCCACTTGTAAGATTTGTGTACTTTGTAGGGGTAAGATAGTTATATCCCAGTATCACGCTCAGTGATGATATAAATGAAATGCAACTTGTTGAGATAATGAAGAATAGTGCCAAAGATATTTTCATTGCTACCAGAACGTTAACTAAAATAGATAAACCGTCTCAAATTAATAAATTTTAACTAAAAATATCAATTTTTATGTATTTACATCTTAGAAGACTTTTGGAGAGTAGAAAACACTCTTTCTATTATACTGAAATTGAGACTATGAGATCGGATAATAAAAATGAACTTTTTTACAAGTTTTTCTGTTAGTCTCTTACTCTTCATCAATAAGGATGGGAAAAAAATTTAACTGAACTAGTTGAACAGATGGAGAACAAAAGTGTGTTGGGCTAAGCAAACAAGATTCACATTTACCTATACCTGTTATATAATTAAACTACCGGATAAGTAATATTAAAGTAAGCATTCTACTACAGTTTGAATGATAAGAAAACTATTCAATTATCATAATTGAGAGTTAAGTTTTTAAGAGAAAAAAAACAGAAAAAACACATTAAATTTTCATGTGTGCTATGACACAAACATTCTACAGAAGAGACAGACAATGAAAAGACAAAACAAATGTATCGTATACAAAGTATTCTTTTAACAACCTTGATGAAAAACGGTGGCTACTTAATTCGAAAACGACCGCAGTACATCCTAAGCAAATAAAATGTTTTTGGCGTTTGTTTAATCTAGGTTAAAAGGTGCATACATAGGTAAATGTTCCTTTTAACTTAGATTAAGGTAACTCCAAAAAATGTTTCTTTTGCTTGGGAGGATGTACGGTCGTTATATAAGTCTTTCTATCAAAACTAGAAAACCATCCGTAAAGTCTCAAACTTCGTACCGCAATGCTTTATTCACTAATAATATAAAAGTATGAATGAGGAAATATGCCATTTTGTATATAAGTAATGTTTGATAAGAAAGAAAATAAATTTTTTTTAAAAAAAATTAGTAGATAAAAACGAGATCTGTTTCTTATGAGAGCTTGCTCTATTGTAGTAAAAAAATCTCAAGAATAATTGACACTTCTTCGGTATGTTTCAACATTTCCGTTCAACTATAAAACTATTAAATTATAATATAATTTGTATGGTATGTTAATTGAATTTTATTTAGACTGCTCATTGTTTTTTACTTTCTGAAGATACAGGTTTTCTTTTCTTGATAATCCATAAGTATATAGATATCTATTCAAGTTTGTGTTTATACAAATACAAACTAAGAGATATGTTACACACATTAACATAGCTAAAATTACGATGTGGATCATCGTACCTGATTAATTCAATCGTACTTTGTACATATATACACAACTTTTTTATAATTGCCAATTCTTACCTACTAAATTGTTGTACAATAGACAAGGACAGGTAAAGTAAAGAATCTGTCTACAATAAATTCGAGTTAAAGTGGTATCTAAAACCTAATTTATACCTTAATTCCTCAATTTCTTGTATGAAACTTTATGGCCTTCATACTATTATCCTAATAAAGTTGTCGTGGTAAATCTATTCGATAAACTGGGTTTTTTTAATAATCTATTTGTCCGTAACATCGTCTCAAACATATACAGTTTACTATAATTTGAATCAATTTGAGAAAATTTTTTTATCAAAAACTTGACAAAGTATCGCATAGTAAATATTGAAATTCTCAGAAACTAAATTGTGAATTATGCTCTAGAAATCGCTCTAACGTACTCCTAATAAAAAAGCTCAAATTTATTGTAGGCAACTTCTTTTTATCTTACCTATCTTTGTCCTTTGAAGATAGATCTACTTCACTTCGCATATAACGTGTACTATACAGCGATTACTCTAACATGTAATGAAGGCGCGTTCAGAATCACGCTTGAGCATATCAGCTTGTCCAAACGTGATTAGACTTTCATTTTTTCAACTCATTTTAAAAGAAAAAACATTTTTATGTAAGATGTGTAAGTTGGTTAGTAATTTTGTTTTTAAAGCTTTTAAAACACGCTATATATCTTCTGATCTAAATTAAATGAAAGACTGAGTTCCAGTGATTTATCTAGTCGATGAACCGAATGGACGGCGCCTACCCGAAAATAAACAGTTGATTTCGTTTTAGCAAAATTTTTTTAGCCAACAACTCCTCCAAAAATTTCAATCGACCACCCGAAAAACGAAACTTAGGTAAAACATTACTGATTTCTACGTATCTTCTTTTAAAAAGTTCTACAGACAAATATGCGATCACTAATATATGTACTTTCTGAATACGTGCTTAGTTTTATTTCTTATTCACTTATCCGTTGTTCGAAGATTGAGAAAACACAAATGTGACAGAATTTTGCCATTATATCACTTTTGAAAACAAACCTGTTTTTCTTTACGAAGTTCAATTGAAACGTTTCATTCTGATAAAACTAGACAGACCCCATAACTATTCACCAACGCTCGACGATTCAAACTTTTTCAACGGTACGTAAAACGAGTTATAAAATAAATTAGAGGCCACCTGTATTAAGCAAGGAGTTAATTGATTAACAGGGTAGTCAGAGTATTTATAGAAAATTAAAATTACTTAGAGTGCTCATCGTAAAATTAGAATAACCTTCAATTACGAGATTACGAAAAAAATGAAATGAGTTAAATTAACGAAACTTCATCTAACAATGTAACAAAAATGAGAAAAGTTTTATGCACGTCAGTACGCGCTGAATATTGGCTTCAGTGAAGAAAAAAGAAGATCTACTCGTATTTTCATGCAGCTCTACCGAATACCACATGATCCAAAGCCACTGCTTATTTTTTTTTTAAGCCTTGCCTAACTTAACTGGATAAAAACAAGATATGAGTTTCTCCCTGCCATAACCATGGTCTTTCTGGTAATAGGGAATGATTCATGGGTCTAACACGATATTTCTCTTATTGTGATCTATTTCAATATTTTTTTATCGAGATAAGTGAAAACTTTATCTACATAATATTTCTGTCTTGATATAGCGCGATAAAATTTTAGCTGACTGTATCGAAGGATACATATTTTTTAAAGTTAGGAGAAAGAGCAGTTAATGATTTAAATAGTGAGGTAATGAAGTACAGAACTGCTATAAACATGATTAGTTAATCATGTTTATAGCAGTTCTGCACTTCATTACCTCACTATTTAAATACATATTTTTTATCGAGATAGACAAGAACCGTATTCTGATAATACAGATAGCTTGATATATCGAATTAGGCCTATAAATCTGAATAGTGAAATTATCGCGATAATCAGGATATTTATCGTGATACTGTCGATTTTTTCCACTAATATCATATTATATCGCTCGATAGTCGCTTAAAAAATCCTAATGGGATAGAGTTTAATTTTGTTATGAATTTGCCGTATTTCATGCAAAAATATAACTTTGGCCATAGCAGGTGGCTCTCGAATCAAAATTATTTTACACGTTGACGATAAAAACTATATTTCATAATAATAATTTTTCTAAATAGACTCCTATGGTGGGTGTAACTTAAATAAAGCATATATCCAAAAAATAATCAAATCATCTTTATCAGGTGAACCACTTCTAAATACTTTTTGAATACAGGAGGGATAGTATAAAAAGTTTTCATTTACTTAAAATATCGCTTATTCATTCCAGTACCATTGAATTTTTTCCTCTCGGGAAAAGTTTTCTTTAAATGTCTTTTACCAGGTTTAAACGTTGACTGACCAAATTGGCATTTGCACTACTCTAGTGGATTAGTAACGATTGTCACTTTTACTGATAGATGAAGAGGGCAGAAGAAATTAAATATTTTTGCATTAAATACTTCTACAAATACTAAAGAGAGCAGAAGTTAAATACTAAATATCCTCATACTTTGTAGTATCAACGTCTCATTCTTCTCAAAAATATACGTACCACAATTTACTGTTGATCTGTCAATATTAATTTACATATTAAAGAAAGAAACTGATAATAAATAATACTATAAAGTCGAAGTTTCTTTCTATTTCAAAAAACAAAACTATCTTTATGCTCTAAAATATTTAAATTTGTGTTTGTGTGTGTGTGTGTGTGTGAGTTTACACACATTTATAATTAAACCGAGAAAAAATTCCTCCACTTTTAACAATAAATTATTTTTTCATGTAGTTTTACAAACTCTAAACAGCACGAGAGCAAACGTTATAAGATGAAAATAGTTAAAAAATTTGAGTGTATGTTTTGCGTTTTATCGTCCATTATATTTTTTACAAAAATAAAAAATAAAAAAAGAATGAGAAATAAAAATTTGTTGTGATATTTTTATGACAATTATTCAAGATGAAAGAAAAATGGAAGTCAAGGCTGTCTATACATTCATAATCGATCAACACTCAATAAGAGAAAAACTGAATATTCACTATATTAAGATATTTTAACAAAGGATAATGTACGTAACTAGTCAGATGTATGTACTATTTATGACCTTTATAAATCCTACAGTTTGAGCTATTAGAAATACGGTATATTTCATATTTCTAACTTGTAAATGCATTTTTCTTTTTGTACTCAAAGAAATATGGTCACACCTATTTACAAAAAAAAAAAAAAAATTTGATAATCAAATTTAATCCTATGTAAGAAGAACACGTATAAAAAGCAGCACACAGTTAAAAAATTGATTCTATAATTTTTTATCCTTTTTTTTTCAGTTAAATCTTGAAAAATTCTTCTTTTATTCACTACAAACATGTTATCGTGAAACTATGACTCTCACCTGTATTAGAAATTGCACATATATACTAGTTGTTAACACGTTTACTAAATTTTTAGTAATGATAAATTAAGATATTACTTCATAAACCTATTGTTCAAATAGATTAAGTAATCATTGGCCAATCAACAACAACAACAAAAAAAAACAAAAAAACGTGTTCGCTCGTTTTCTCGACTTCTATGAGACAACGTCCAAGTATACGTCTTTATATGTTATAAATATTTAGTCGATACTTTTTTTATAAATACAAAAATATTGATTTTTATATTCTTATTATTTTTCCATTATCATTTTTTCGTGTTAAATAATGTTTTTTCCCTTTCTGGATTTTTCGTTTTTTGTTTCTTATATATACTCATGGTCTATATATGCCGCCCTTTTATATTCATATAGACTAATACGTTACTTACTAAGAGAGAGAAAAATAATTTCTTAGTTGCACACACATACATCTCAAGTCTATATGTAGATGAGTAGCTTTTTACATAAAAAAAAAAAAAAAATCTGTTTTGAGAATTATAATGCATCCTTCGTTTTTAGCAATAAAAAAAAAAAAAAGAAGAAAAAGGAACGGTCTGATTTTCTTACAACACAAATAAGACAACTGTTTTACTTTCTGACAAAGAAAACTTGTTTATAATAGAAAAGATTTGAATTTAGAATTATATGAGACTCACTTTACTTAGTATAAAGAAAAGTTGATGTATCGGATTAATAACTCTCACTAGAAATAAGATTTCAATTATGAAACAATGTGTACTATAAGATAGACTAAAAAATATTCTATATGAAATTTTTCATTACCTTTACTAGTTATTTGATTCTAGTTAGTGATTATAAAGAAGAATATTATTAATTAATATGAAGTTACATCATATATACTGTTTCAATTACTTTTATTCTCTTTCTACGTTTTTACTTCACTTCTAAAATGAAATTGAACTTAGAATTCTCTTCAAGTTTTAAATATTTTTCAAAAGCGTTTAATTATTTATTAATAATATGTCAAAACTCTTAGGACATTTATTTTTTACAAGAACAATAACATGATGAAATGATTAAGACAAAACTGACATGCTTGTTATTTCATATTATATTTTGATAGGGGTTCGATAAACGCGTGATGTAATGATGTAATACGCATAATATACAGGTGTATATAAGTGTAAATGTGTACGACCTATAGGTATGCGTATTACAATTTGTCTAATAAATATACAAGCAAACTGAAGGCCAGTTGGGTGTGAAGGAAAAAAGGTTAAACCCAAAAGTATCGAAAAACAATTTTGTTAAAGTTGATGATTGTCATAGGGGAATTCTGTCACACATCGTCGGTTCTTTTGTTCTTTCTTTCTTTCTTTCTTTCTTTCTTTTTTTCTTTCTTTTTTTCTAACCTATTTGGAATCATTCAAATATGAAGTATGAAAATAAATCAAACGATAGAACACGTATGAAAAGTATCCTGTTACACAATCTTTAATATTATAATTTGGCATAATCGATCTAACTAAATTTATTATACGTTTTGTTTAATTCAAAACGTCAAATATCTAAACGTTTGAAAATACTTGAAACAAAATAAAAAAATACGTTTTGAAGGTTATTGCAACAGAAACCAGTCAAGTCAAGAACATAACTATTCATGAAGCAACAAAAGAAGGCGTGAATGATAATTAAAAAACATGAGATCTGTCACCTGCGCAAGGCAGTATAATACAATTACTTTAAATTTATCTATTGGTATTAAAAAATTGCGTATATGCGCGGATTAGTAGCTATTCAAAAAAAAACAAAAAAAAACGGAAAAATATTTTTTCATACTACTCACAGTACCATTTCAAAACGGATTATTTCGCTCCGCAATCGGATGAAAATGACCATCAAATGCCATGTTCAGTACAGCAAATACAGCAGTAAACAAAAGTATTTCACCATTCTATCTCTCAGCTTAAACATTGTATTAACTTGGGATTTTCAAAAAACAAAATTAGTTACATAAAGTTTCTAATTTTCGGGTCGAATGGTCAGGCTTGAGGTCAAATGTGGATGAAATGTAAGAGAGAAACTCGAGAAAAAATGAAGCCCTTTGTGTATCATTAGCACAAATATCCTAACTCAAAATAATTTTACAAATTTAAGCACTTTTTGACATTTTAACACTAAAAAGTTCTATAGCTGTGCCTACAAGTGGTATTTCCATTCGAAACAGAGAATTACCCCGCGAATAGTTACATTAATTTTCAATTAGCATTAGGGCATTCCATTAATATATTCAACTGATGATTGAGGTTAGGATGAGCAAAGTTTTGAAAATTTTCCGCAAAATCCGTAGTTTCTAAGGCGCTGGTAACTCAAAAAAATAGCAGAATTTTTTTCGCAATATTTATACATCGTTGGATAGAGTTTGTCGAGTTGAGTAAGAAAAAATTGGTTTCAGATTTTCAGACAAAATTTTTTGAGAGAGAAGAATCAAAAGCACAAAATTTTTATAATTCGTGAAAAACACTATATTTTTAAAAGATTTCGAATTTTCGTTTTACTGAAAAAGGAGCCGAAAAGAAAATACACATTAAGGATCGCGTTAAGAGTTCGTACTAAATTTCGATGAATATAGCGGGATATGATTCTAGTTTTGGACGGGTATGACATTCAGATAAAGGAAGTCGTATCATATTTGACCTTAAGCCTGATGTTTGACCCTGAAACTTTTATGAAGAATGTTTTCTGAAAATTTCCAAAAACAAGAATGCTTAGGTCGAGTTTAAACTATTTTTATTGAAAAAGTATTCAAAATGTAATAAGTGATCGTAAAACAATTATAATCTTTTACCTAGTAGGAGCCAACAGATAAAATTTATACTGTAGATAAATAACCAGTCGTTGTCTTCTATCCGTCACTTTCACAAATGTCTTTAGTTGAAGAAATGGTGCCTCACAACTTCTTCCGTTTTTTCTTCTTAATATAATTAGTCTTTTTACTATTCTCGCTCGTCACACAATAAGAATAAGCCAAAGTCAAAAGAGTATATTTTTATCATGTTTAACAAATTTGTTTGTCAATGCACTTTTCCGTCAATTAAATAATATTTCAATTACATGTATGCTTAGTCTACACAATTGTCATTTAACAGAGGTAAGAGTTTTAGTATGAGTTCATCCTCTTTTATGTCTACAATATATAAACGTCACGTATTTTTTTCGTCTTTTTCTTTTTGTTCTTGTTAAAAAGTCTGTCTAATTTAACAATTTGACATGACACAAAATGACGTGTCGTATATAGTATATGTCTGCATTAATATTATCATCATCGGTACTAACAACTATACACCAATTGCATATATATATATATATCTGTTGAATAAATGAAGATTATAAATTTCAATCAAAAAGTACAATATCAAAAAAACAGTAGTATCTTGACTATATTGACTCAACGTCTGTCTAAGCGTTGTGCACCTCTCTTTCTCTGTAGAAGAATAATGATGATGATAATGATCATTTTTATATTGTTAAAAAATTAAAAAAGGATTAAAAAAAAAGGATTCAAATGGTGTGTCACAGCTGATAAAAGAATTTACATACTATTCCATTTTTTGTTTTTGTCGGATGCTTGTGTCGCTACGAATTATAACAATTTTCTTTTTTACGCAGCAGATAATTTTTTTTGTCGTATTTTGTAGAATTCACCCCATGGTTTTACAGTCGTCGCACTCTGTTCTGTGTTAAAAATATTGATATTCGCAGCACATAATACTTTCAAACAAACAAATGATCAAAAACTAATCAGAATCGATCGAATGCTGTGTACTACGATTTACACGATGAGCATACAAATTCACATTAAACAAACATGATCAGACAAACAAAGTTTTCGAGGGTAAAATCATAATTTTCTGAAAAAGTAGTATATTTTTAAAATTCGAAGAAGCGATCTATAATAGCTGTGTACTAAATCGTTTGTAATTGAATCACTAGCAAAAGACACAATAGAGAGTCAAATCTTTGTAGTCTTGTTTCTACGAATATCACATAGAGATGTTTTGCTTGATGATTCTCAAAGTGAGCAAGCAGATCAGGGTACTGAAATTTGATGAAGTCAGAATAAACTTCAGCTTTGATGTTTCAACTCTTGAGAACTTTGAAGTACTCAACATGTAAAACTGCTAAACTTGATGCAAAACAATGTTGTATATTGATCGAAACTTTATCCGCTGAAAGAATATGCAACAAGATAGGGTTTTATTGAGATTACAGTAGGAAGCAATCAGGAAAAGTAATCGAACACTTTTGTCACTTCAAACGACGACCTTCTATGATGTTCAAGGTTACAATTATTGTTATAACAGAACCTAATAAAGTGTCTTACAAGCAAAAAAAATCTATAACAAACAAGAGTTTTTCAATCACCGAATATAAACATTCTACTTTATAATTGTACCAATACTTTTATCCATATAAAATTCTATGTGGTTGGCTTGTGCTAATGTGTCCACAGAATCGATTGTTTTTTTTTTGTTTTATGTAAAAAGATTTTCAACAACAACATTAAAAAACCGAAAGAAATAAACAAAGTATGGTTTTCGATTTATCCATCCATACTTGTGATTAAAAATACAGGAGGCATTTCGTTTACAAACAATATACAAAAAACAGGAATAACAACACACTAGTATCTGACGATAAAAAGGTAATCGTATGTACTACGAGCAAAAAAAGAAATAATGAGAGAAAGAATAGTAAAATAAAATTGTTGAAATCTATCTAAGGAACGGAATAAGACAAATGATATTTTTTAGATCATACGATAAAAAGTTCGGGATTGAATTCTCATACGCAGTAGCGAATAGAATCGACTGATATTCATTTGTTCACAGAATAAGAAAAAAAACATATCACCGCAATATGAGCAAAAGCTGCGCATTCTAAAACAGCGACGACAGAAGATAGAAAAAAGAGAAACAACACACTATGTATACAGACTGCATTAATAGTATTTTAAGAAACAAAATGAATCACCGTATTCAATAAAAATGGACGAACAAGTTCACAAACAAATACATTAAGAGAAAAAGTATTTTCATGCGCAGAGAGAAATTTTATAATAAATAGATAAAATAAAACTCGAAATTATAGCATGTGGAATATATTTATCATTCAAACATTAGCTGGATTTTCGTGTAATGTTGTGGAATGTAAATAATGACGAGGTGACATAATGTGTGTACGCTTAGGTATTTGTTGTTGTTGATCAACATTATGACTATAGGATGTAAAATGGGTGGGTTGAACAGTAAATGTTGATGGATAACTAGATTTTACATTGTGTTGGTTTTCATTATTGTAATAAAAATCTTGTATTGACGGATGATGAACATGAGTGGATGATTGCTGCCGCAATGATTGAGTCCCACTTTGAAATTGTACGGGTAATGCTGGCTGTTGTTGATGTTTTTGTCCAGTTGGTGACAATGTTAATGCGACGGATTGTACTGGACGATATGGTGTACCATCTTGATTATTACTCTTACGATAAGATGATGATTTTGTTTTTACCGGTGGTGGTGGTGGTGGTGCAGCATTTTGAGAACGTTGATTAATAACATCGCGTTGTGAAAGTAACGCACCATTTTTTGGATTAAAATGTAACGTGGTTGTCGTCGTAGCGTTTTTTGAATTTTCGTTGGACCAAACGGGCGGAGAAAAGTGATCAACAAGATGAGCACGTTGCTGAGACGTTAATTGATGTTGATTATCGAAACGATAAGGTTCATAACCAGAAGATGTTGTTTTATTTTGATTCGATATTATATTGTTTGAAGAGGACGACTGTTGTTGATATTGATGTTCAAAAGCTGTTGGTGTTCTGTTTTCGGATGAAGAAATAGAATAAGATGAATTTGTCGTTCGATCATGGCCAATAATGTCAGACTATAATTTATACAAAGAGAATGGTTGATATAATTTTATTCTGACGAGGGAACATTCCCAAATGAGGCACTCTAATTTTGTTCAAACCTCGCAATTTATATGTCATCAAGGGCGCTGATTACGAATATGACAGCCGTTTGTGTCCATAGACCTTTCCTAGCGTTTCTCTGGAGAACCAGTTTTCTAGAAATCTCCTGAAACCCTAGCAATGTTTTATCAACATGTTGGGATTGTAGCCTGGAAATTTTACATCAAAATGACACGCTTCCCAGCTCTTCACGACCTTTCTTTGCAAAGTTACAGAATTTACAAGAGAAGCCCTAAATTAAGTTTCCCTTTTCTTTCTATATCTCTGAACTGACAATGAACATTTAGGGCTTCTCTTGTAAATTCTGTAACTTTGCAAAGAAAGGTTGTGGAGAACTGGGAAACGTGTCATTTTGATGTAAAATTTTCAGGCTACAATCCCAACATGTTGATAAAACATTGCTAGGGTTTCAGGAGATTTCTAGAAAACTGGTTCTCCAGAGAAACGCTAGGAAAGGTCTATGGGCACAAACGGCTATCATATTCGTAATCAGCGCCCTTGATGCCATATAAATTGCGAGGTTTGAACAAAATTAGAGTGCCTCACCGGGAATGTTCCCTCGTGAGAGCAGTACTTAACGTATCAAACAACAGAAAATGGTAGAAATGATTTTAGTAGCGAGAAAATAGTCAGGAATACAATAAATCTTTTTCCTTTTGATGTGATGTAAATAAAAAATTTGAAGAATCATTTTACTCACTGCTTTTGCTTTTGAAGGTGATGCTGAAGACGTCGATTCTTGTCTTGTACTAAATGGTGCGGGCGGTGGAGGAAATGCTGGCCTAATTTGATTCTCGATATTTGAGGAAGGCGTGAGAGAAGTGGTAGGAGGTTTCGGTGATAAATTTCGTTGATAATGAAAATGATTTGATCTAAAGCAACGGAGTTATTTTAGCATATTAAATCAAAAAGCTAAAATTATTTCTCTCTCACCTATCATCTTCAACAGGTCGACTTGCATGTAAAAGTTCAACATTTGAATTTGAAGTTGATTTTTCATTTTTATCTTTTTTCTTCGTTCTTAAAAAAATAACGAAAAGTATAGTACATAAATCATCTACGATACCAAACCGAGAGATGAGTGAAGCACGAGGATCTTCAACCACGAAGGAGAAAGAACTGTCTCTGGCACTCTTCTGGTACCGGTATAGCTTAATGATAATGTTGTTCGTCACATACTTTAAACGCACTGTATTCGAACATCGGCGCCGGCATTTCATGTAATAACCTTATCTAAGTTACTTATGCCCAGGTGTCTCGGATCATCCGTACGACAGCATACTCACTACGTTGTGATGTACAATATAGCTCCTCTGACTAGTGTGTGCAGCTTTCCGGAAAGCTAGTATATGATTAGTGAGCGCGTATGGAGAGCTGATGACTAATAACAAAATGGGTGACCATATCAAAAGCTTGTCGACTGCAGAAAAGATATCAAACTATTGAAACTGCCGTTCGGCAGCGCCCTAGTAACGGTAGCCGTAAAGCGGGGTAGTCTTCCTTCCTTTCCGGTACCAATCAAAAACAATATTTACCGTAAGAAAAGATTTGTAAAACGAAAACGTTGTTTATCTTTGCTTGATTTGTCACGATCAAATGACTCAGAAGGAGATTCTAATTAAAAATAAAAATACCAATGTTAGAAAAATAGTAGAAATATTCGCTATAATTACCATCTTCTAGTGGATTATGATATGATTTATCGACAGCTTGACGAAAACTTTCGTTACACGCACGACTACGAAGACGTGCTTGACGTTTATATTCATCATCTGTATTTTTTAAATCATTTTTGTCAATTTGTTGTCCGTTTGTAGTTAATGTATGAATACTTTCCAGAGATGATGCACGAACTAAACCACCAACACTATTGTTACCATTGGGCGGTGAATTTGGTAATGCACGCATTGGTTGTTCTAAAACAAGCAAGTAAGAAGATATAGTCATTTTTACATTCTGAAAGAATTGAGTAATTTCATGCAACATAATGCAAGCAATTTGTCTTTTTCGAACATGCAGCTGAAACAGTTGTTAGTTAATTAGTTAATTATTGTATCAGCGACAGACACGCAGATCATTGTTTTATAAACAAGGCGTCATTTATATTACAGAATTTCGAGAGTTTTACAAAAAACAGATTCTTTCACGATAATCCTGCTCAGTCAGATGCAAAATAAGTCATCATGATAATTATTTACGTTCAGTTGAGAACTTAGTCATTTCACATGCATCATACATCGAAAGTTTTTGTTTCTACATAAAAAGATACCGTGTAAGTCACGATTTTTTGTTCAAAAAGATTTTTACCATTATCAACATCATCATCATCCTCATCATCGATTACAGGAGCAAGAATTTCAACAGATGCAGCCTGCATCAGACATACTGCAAAGAAAAAAGAAAAAAAATAAGGAATGAGAAGTTTCGTACTAAATAACTCTCACTCATACACACTGAGAAAACTTTCAGCAGCGTGTTTAAAATTTGATTATGCTACATGAAAAAAATATTAGAATATCAGAGACAGATCATTTCTTTGAGAAACATTTTCAGCAATTCAATTACAAAATTAAAAGATAATTTAATTGCACCAAACAATGTTAGATAAGCAATTAACAGCTTTGGTTAATTAATTATTTTTATTCCTCATAAAACGTGTGAAAGCCACTATCCTAAAAACTTACAGTTTTATCTAGAAACTGTTCATATTGGAAGAAAACTATACTATACTTCTATTCTTTGAAAAAGATCTTGATTCTCAATTAGAATTGTGCAAATGATAGCGTTTATATTATGCCTCCTTGACAAAGCAACATTTTGATCAGTTATTTTTGCGATGTCTTGTTACATAAGGGATACTAGCGAGTACAAATTTTCTTCGAGACGAGTACATCTAGTAATGCTTACTTCTATCTCCTTGGCGGCCTTCGTGAAATGAACGTTGTTTCCATTGTAATGCCTGTTGATTTGGCTGATGAGTAAGTCGACGTTTTTCTGATATACTTTGACGAAATGGTGTTTCACGTTCAAATGGATTATTACTGGAATGAGAAAAGAAAATATTTTCATATTCAAAGAACAATAAAAATATTTCATCTTACTTTTGAGTACCGTTATCGCTATCATCATGCGTTTGACTATTATTGTTCGGTACAATGGGAGTTTTAAATTCATTCGTCGAAACATTAGATACGAATTTTGATTCTAGAAAGAGAGAGAGAGAGAAATTTATGAAAATTTCATTTTTTCTATTTTTCTATCATACCTCGATGTTGTTGTCGATAATCTGGAACATCATGATGATGAAGTTGTTGTTGAACAAAATTTGGTTTATTTTTTGATGGAGATATATTAGATCGATTAGTGGCTGTTGAAGATGATAATCGTGGACTAGATGGTCGATTATCTATTTCCGTCAATTTATTTGATTCAGATCGATTCACTTGAGCTTTAAATAAATATAAAATATTATATTATTTATTTTTCATAAATTCAACGTAAAAAAACATGGTAATAGTAAAATTCAATAAGAATTATATTGAAAAAATAAATCTTTACCTTTGTATTGTTGTTGTTGCTGGGACTGTTTCATGTAGTGGGATGCACTTGGTAGTGGTGGTACAAATGTTGTCAAATCTAGTTCATTTTCGTCCGATTTAATATCGATCGATAAAGAGGGCTGATTAACGATTAATGACGTTATAGATGGTAAATCTGTTTCTCTGATACTGCCATTATAATTATTATTGTTATTCTTACTAGTATTAGTTATTAAATAGGAATATTTTTTATTATCTTGTTCATCTTCTTCATCGTCTGCTTGTTCATGTTGTGAACGCGATATTGTCACTTTAATATGACCAGGTATGATTTCATGTCGAACGGCTTCATGTAATATTCCAGCAGCATCTAAATTAGATGTATTTATTAGGGACGATTCATTAATAATTAACAATTGATCATTTGGTCGAAGACGTCCATCCTTAACAGATAAAAAAAAAAATCATAAACATTTGTCTTTAAAATATACATATACTTACTCTTGAAGCGGCTCCTCCTGTCAAAACGGTTTTTACATAAATTCCTAAATCAATCGATTGTCCATCTACGATCGATGTTTTTCCCTTAAGTGTAATGCCTAATCCAGCTGAAGAGGTATCATTCAATGGTATATCAAATGTAAATATTTGAGTTTTTGATAATGATGATTGTGTTTGGTTGTCCAAATTCTGATTATCTACTACCTACAAACGAAAAATAAAGGAAAAAATAATTATAAATTATTGTTTATTTCAAAATGTATATTACCAGATCATGAGGTACTGAACCGTCACGTTGTCGCGATATAATTAATTCAACGGTTTCACCAATACGAGTGTCACGTAATAAACCCACAGTATCTTGTAGACTCATACTTGTTACATCAGTTGAATTTACTTTTAATAGACGATCACCACGTTGTAAACGACCATCATCAATAGCAGCACCTTTTGGAAATATACTTTTCACATAAATTGGATTAGCAGAATCCGTTGGATTGTCACGTGACGCTAACTTGAAGCCAAGTCCATCATTACCTAGAAAAAAATAATATGAAATGAACATTATCAATTAATGATCAAAAATTTGTTTTGAAGAAAGATCTTTTACCTTTTACTAACATTATTTTAATAATTCGTCCTAATTTTCTTGTATTTAATGAATTCATATTACTTTCATTATCTGTATAGGATGTTGTTATTGATGAATCATTATTGCTACTATGATTAAGTTTAATATCGGGTAATAATGATTTTGACTTTCTTTTTGTTTCATCTTTCAAACGAAATGAATTTGTTCCTGGTTTTGGTGGTATGGGAGGTGGTTTTTTAATATTTCTAATAATTTTTAACTCTAATTCTGGCTCTGATAATCCATCATGAAAGATAAATTGTGCTCTAGAAATAGTAAATAATTATTTTTAAATTGAAAAGAGATAAATTATAAAAAAAAACTTACTCGTCAAATGTACATTTTTCAATATTATTTCGGTTTATTTCAACTATTCTATCATTTACATTTAATAATCCTTGTCTTTTTATTCGACCATCTGGTTCAATATTTTGTAAAAGTAAACCTCCAATAGGATCTTGAGTAGTACTATTATTATTATATGGTATAACGTGAATACCCAATGGACTATTTTCTTTTTGTAGTAAAATATAAAATGATTTGTCACCAGTTTTTTCATCAATTTGAATATTATAAATTCCACTATTATCACCGCCATTATTTAATGAATACGACGGAGAAGAAATAGATGAAGATGTTGATGAAAGTAACACATGTAAAGGTACAATTGAAGATTTTACATCATTTGTCGGTGGAGAATAGGATGTAAAGATTGAAGAATTTCCATTTAATTTTTCTCTTGTATAATAATCATTTGATACGTATGATTTTAATGGTCCATTATTAGCATAATTTAACGTATGCGATTGAGACATTGTATCCGATTGCTAAAACGGTAATAAGTCAGTCAATCATATATATGAATTTTATCAATAATCATTTAAATACAACGTACCGTTACAGCTAAGTTTGATTGATCATTATGTTCATTTTTCACTCTTAACGATCGAGCTAAACAAAAACAATACACAAAATTTAAGATGATAAATGTAGATACGAAAAACTTTAAAATCTATAAAAAAAAAATCAATAAGTAAGTTGTGTGGTTAGCGATTGACATATCTCTAAAGGGAAGACAGAATATATTATGACATTGAAGTATAATCGATAACTTTTCCTTTTACATTTTATGTGTTACATTTTTAAACTTCGCAAAGGGATGTTTGATTGATCTTTCTTTTTTTTTGTATCCATCTTGCTTCGGTAGAATGCTGAATAAAATGAAAAATTAGGCGTTATGTTTAACACTGAATTATCAGTGACAACACAAAAATAGTTATATAATTTAATTGATCATTTATAAAATAAACTTATCAATTTTGTATTATATCAAAAATAATTTCTTTTGATAATAATTTTTTCATTTCACTATAACTATTGAATGATTGATATCAAATTTATCCGGTATTAATAAAAACTATTCTCCAGTTTTAAAAAGATATCAGACAACACGTATTGAGATTTAACTTCTATCTATTTACTTTAGTTTAATAATAATGAAATTTCGTTCTGTTAAAAAATGCGTAAAAAGTTCTTTTTTCGATTATAAAGAATGAATAAGTAGTTCAATTTAAAATTGTGATTACATAAAAATAAACTTGTATAACACTTGTTAAAGATTAGTCGTTATTTGTCTTATTTCAAAAGAAGGAAATAACGTTATACTGTATCATAAACGTATATTTTTATCCTTTCTTTTAAAATCGAGTCACTCTCTTACATAGGCAAAACATATATGTTTCATATGTCATTTTATCAATACTGTACAATATTCTTTTGTCGTAACATCGAACATAATAATTATTCTTATATAACATTTTTCTACTTTATGTGTGTATGGTGTAATTATGTTTATTTTTCAAAGAACAACTTAAAAATTAATCTCTTCAAATGAAAAAAGAAAAATTGAAATTGAACGAAAAAAATATATTTCAAACTACAAACACAATATTTGTAATTGAAATTTAACATATAGGCAAACAAAGACACATGTAACATTGTTTCTCAATCAAAGTAAAATTATTATGTTTTACGGGGGGAAATTTTTTCTTTCCATTGAACAAAAGTATTTGTCGGTAAAGATCATAAAAACTTCTAGAAAATTTCATTTAAAATAAATCAGTAAATGTGTGCTATACTTCTTCTTAATCAGAAGTGATAGAAAAAAATCAAAACCTATTTTGTATACAACATTCTGTTGTTGTTGTTGTTGTTTTTTGAATTGATATATCGATAAGAAGTTGTCATAGACTTATTCTTATTTCTAAAGATCAAGAGTAAATATTCTCAACAAACAAATGACCTTACGTCAGGTTGTTGTTTAACCTTATTTGCTTTTTCTTTTGTCCTTTGTTTCAAAATACGTCCATTAATGTGAGCTCTTCTAAGAGAAAATAAAAAGGTCACAATGGGCGATTTATTTATATAACAATAAGATCAAACTAAAACAAAAATAAATGAGTAACTTTTAGAGATAAGAAGACAAAAAAACAACAACAACAACAACAAATGACGTAACCAAGAGGAAACATGACAATTCGATCTCTCGCTATACATAACTAAAATAAGAATTTTATACATTTTAGAATAATCTCGTTTATGCAAATATTTCGCTTACTATTTTTTTTTTTTTTGTTAGTAGTGAATTTTTAATATTTTATGATCGTAATTAATTGTTTCCTTTGCTTTTATTTTTTTTCTCCTTTCATCATTTCACTATATACACTCATTCATTAGACTATTTTATTTTCAGGTAATTTTTTTTTTCTGTTGCTTTTCTCTCTCTTACGACCATTGTTGAAGAAAGAGAAAGAATTGACTGCATTCAGAAGTTCAACAATGTTTACATGCAGAGAGCGAAAAAGACGAGAAAAAAAAGAAATCTATAATTCATACCTGAATGTAACGTACGTTATGAAAAATGTGTCCTAGTTTTCGAAACATGATTGGAATTATAAAGTATACACAAACATTTACATGAGAAAGGCAAATTTCTATTCTAGATATATATACAAACGAATTTTTACGTGATTAAAGAAACAGAATAGTAGAGAGAAGTGAAAGAAAGAGAGAGAGGAAGAAAGAAAAGAACAAAAAAGAAAGCTGTTACATTAAAAAAAATTTTTGCCGTTACGTTAATTGTGGACAATATGAACATATCTATTCATTCAAGGTCAGTCATATAGAAAAGAACAAAAATATTTTTGTATGATATATGTACAATTCTATTACATATTATGAACAAAAATATCACAATATAATTTTAATAATTTTATCAAAATACGATATTATCAAATACTCGGTCTGTCATTTCAACGATGCATGACATCTATTCAACTTGAACATGAACTAGAACTAATAAAACAAGAATATCATTAGTCGTTATGTAAATATTATCATACACTCACTTGTCAAAAATGTTCAAATTTCTTCTTATATTAAGAAGAGCGGTGACTTGTCAAAAGGACAATAAAAGAAAAGAATAAAGCGTAAAAGAGAGCGCGCGCGCGCAGGAGAGAGAGAAAGAAGATAGTTTTTACAATTCAAATTTTATTTGAAGTCGAGGACATACATTGATAACGAAACACACATACCACACTCAACATTATTTACATTTATAATCAACAAAAAGAAACAAACAACAAACTATGATATGAGTTAAATAAATTTTATTCACATATGGAACTTGAGTAGACACTATTCGTTTAAACTGACAAACTACCGACATTAATAAAAATAATTAAACGTGAACACTTGCTTATTTTATTCGATACCTCTTTTGTCTTTTCATTCATTCGTGCATGTATGTACAATGACAAAGAAGGAGTCACTGATTTAATATGCGTGCCTTTAAAGTTAATATAAATAATTCAATATATAAACAACTTACTTCTTAGATCTGCATCTGTTACAATAACTTCATTTGTATTATTTTTTGTTATTGTTGTTGTTGGTATTTTTTCATGTTCAGATAAACTTGAAGATAAATTTGAACTACTTAAACTAGACGATATATTATCGTCACCATTACTATTGATTGTTTGTTGTTGATCATTTGAATTGACAATTGATGAATCAATAATTGCTAATAACTGAAGAAGAAAAAAATTTAGTTTATAATGGATAATTCTATTCTTTTTCTTTTTTTTAAATATACTTCTTCACGATCATCAGCAACATCACAAATTAAATCATCAGGATCTAATCCAGCACCATTTTTTAAACGTAAATGAACAATGGAATTATTTAAGTTGTAAGAAGACTAAAATCGAATAAAAATAAAACATAGTATAACATTTGATAGAAAGAGAATAACAAATAATTTCATATGTAAAAGATCTAAAAATATTTTCTCTAGATATATTTTTAATAACACTTTTTCAATGACAAATTTTTCTAAGAAATCATCATAATCATGTTTACAGTCATTTTTCTTCCACATGAATTTGTCTAAACTAATTAAACTATCTTTCATTTATTCTAGACAAAAAGTGAGAGATAGTCATGGTAGTATTTTCACATATTTATCTATGATTAATAAGCTACACATCAATGAGTCAATAGATACAAATGAGTATCAGTTTTTTTCTTTTTGTTCTTGTTCAGTTTTAGAAATTGTTAATCATATACACATAAGGTCCTGTCAATTTACATAGCAAAAAATACAAAACCTATCTTACTGTCTATTCATATAAAAGAAGCATAACAATTTTAACAGCGTATCATCATTTTTTTTATTCAGAGATGAATAAATTCGAGACAAAAAAATGTTTTCTTGAAGTATAAAAATGAAAAAAATTTGTAGTAAGTCAGCATATCAAACTCAATCTATCTCATACGAGGAAGAAAAAAAAGAAGAAGAAATTGTTATGTAACTACAAAAATATTAAAACTCATTTAAAAGTGAAACGAAAGTAATAATTATTTCTATATAAATTTTATACCATTTAGAAGAAGAAAAAAAAAGAAAAAATTTTATTATTTATTATGGTTTTTTTTATTCGTTTTCTTAAAACGATGTGTATAACTTACGATAGAAGAAAGCAAAAAAACTAATAATAAACATATCACTTACTAATCCATAAATTTTACTGTATTTTGCTGTTGCAATATTTATTAATTGATGTACAGCTATTTCACCATTACCACAGGGTACAACGACTTTTGTACCACCAAAATTGATGATAACTTTCATTATTACTGTTATAATGTCGATTCGAGAGCGAACATTTGGGTAGAATAGTTTACGATGATATACCTGTGAGAATATAGAAAAAAAAACAAAAACGAAGAAAAGAGAATTATTGAATCTGTGTAAGAAAAAAAAAAGAGAAGGAGAAGAAGAGAGAAAAAAATATATTGATACTATGATTTATTAAGAAAAAACCTGCATGGTATTAAAACAAAAAAACAAACAAAAAAAAAAGAAAAGAAAACGAAATATGTTGATAACATTTGTGATTCTATCATGAAATAAAAATGAAAACTAGAAGTTTAAATAAAAGAAAACATAGATCATTTTTGAAAAAAAATTTGATATTCATTGTCTATCTTAGTTGGTTCATTCTACACGTTAAAATCTATTGTTAACACACAAAATACCGTTTTATTAGCCAGTACTTTGTTAAAATATTTTGTTTAAATTAATAAAATCTAAAAAGATGAATTAATATCATAAATATATAATGTACACGTAACATCTTTATCTATAATATGCATATATAATATAAAAATAAATCTAGACAACTATGTTCAAAGAAAAAAAGACGAAAGAATAGTGGGTAAACCTCAAGTAAATCCTCAAATAACCTTCAGATAATTTTACTCTAATCTCTTTAAACAATACATCATGTTAGTATCTTACCATTATATTTATATTATTGAGTATTTGATCAATTGTATTCATGAACGTACTCTACAGTTTTTATGTTAAGAATAATTTGAACCCAATAAAACTGATACAAACAAGCTAATTCATATACTAATAATTCAGCTTTATACAAAATGCTCTTTTTTTTCAGTTAATTCATTTACATGTATTTTTGTTTTTTCAATAATATTCAAATTTTATAATCAATACTATTTGTCTATCCGTTTGTAAACTAATAGAAATTAGAATCAATTTTTTTTCTTTTTACTCATCTTAATTTAATTTTATATAAATAAATTAATAAATATTCTTCTTTTATCTTATATCATATTGTTTCGAATCGTTGAATTAATATATAACAATTTTTGTTCATCAATAGAAAATAAGTATAATTGATTTTATGTATTTTCAAATTCTTGACAAAAAAAATCGATCATCATTATTTTATTTGTTCTAAATTTTTCTTGGTATGTTTAAAATAATGTCATCATTCTCATACGTTGTTAAAACGGAATAATCGATTGAAAATTTGATGAGTTATTAAACATTTGTTGATAATAAAAAAGACCCATTGTTTAATTTATCTAAAAAGAAATGAATCTTGATAAAGGATGAGCAAACATTTCTGTTAGCGCGTCTTGTCATTCTATTTTTTTTTTGTTTTGTTTTGTTTTTTTTATTCTCTTATTAAACTATGTGTATGAGTTATGGTGAAAAAAAAAATAGAAAAAGAATATAAACATCATACTACTACCGAAAAAAGATAATAACTTTTCTTATTACTTTTATGATTTTGATTCGAAAACGAACATATATCAGAATAGTTTGCTCTAATCTACATCTCAAAACAAAACAAAAAAAAGTGAAGAAAAAAAGGGCACAAAATGATCCTGTATATATAATTTGTAAAATAAAGAGAGAAGAGAAGAAAAGAACAGAAGAAGGATCATATTTATATGTATATATTCTCTTAGTTGAAAAGAAAAAAGAGAACAATGAGATATTTTCTACAGTTACCATCTCTTATTGTCTTCGAAACACAATAAAACATACACATACACACACACAATCGAACAAATGAAGAAAAAAAAAATACATATTAGTGATTATCACCTATAGTTAGTTCTTTACACCTGTCCTATAGTTAAATGTAACTGACAACTAAGGTCTACTCTATAAACAAAACATAAAAATAAAATTTTTTTTTTTCTGATAGATAAAAACAACTGTCGTCTAACGATAGGCAGTATTAGAAAACGATCAAATATTCTTCTTATTTGTTTTTTTTATATAATTAAGTTACGTTTCAAAGAAGTAGACCTTTATTCAACATAATAATGAAACTATTTCTTATTGTGTTAAAAATATCATGATTCATTGATAAGAAATAATTTTTCAGACGAGACATATAAAAAAGTTATTGTGACCATTATATGTTCATATTATTTCAAATATTTCGGATCGAAAATGACTAATTACTTTTGTTTTTATTAGATTATTTATATGTAACGTTTCGGATTTTCGATTCAATTTCTTGAAGGTAGCTAATTTTTGTTGTTTTGTTTTTAAGTAATTGAATAAATTTTTTGATGAATAAAACCTTCGTTATTATTCGATACAAACAAGGATGGAAAACATTCTTCTATACTCATGTCTGAAAAGGCTAGAACTTGATGGCTAAGGCGCATTTTCAATAACACTCTTTTTCTGTACATGTACTATATCCATGTTCAATTCTGATAAGAAACTTTTATCCTACTGCTGACATGGAAGATGTTTATTTCTCTAAATAATTTGTAAACAAAATCTTAAAAAACTGAATATATGTTTTTCTTTCACCCGATGTTCTGAGATCATGGAAGCAAGAGATTAAATCAAAATCGAAGCTAAATGTCGCAAGAATGTCTATTCACATTTTAATCGGTATCAAAAGCTTTTTGTACCAGGAAATGGGTTACCTACCACCAGGTGGGATTTGTGCTTTTTCTAGCATATTTTCAAGAAAACAAAGAAAAAGACCAATTTTATAAAACATACAAAACAATCACATACGTTCTTTTCTTTTTCTTACGTTTTTGTACTGAAGAGTAGAGAAATAAGTGTTAAATACTATACATTAGTCTATACATTTACAATAAACACATTATGATAAATGTGTAAGAAATAAAAAAATCTTGAACAAACAATTCAATTTGTGTTAACTTGTTGTTAAATGAATATTTGTCGATTCCATATTTAAATCATCATGATGATCATGTTCTTCAGATGATATCGAACATTTATCATCATCTTGATTTGGATCATTTGTGTTCAAGTTTGAGTCGTCGATTGATGGCATCGAAGCTCCTACTGTACGATTCAAGACAACATTCAATGGATCACGTATACCCAACATTTGACAAAGCAATTCAGTTTGAGGATTTATTTTTTGTTGTTGATTTATCGATGTAGATGATGATTTTTCTGATGTATATGTTGGAGCTGTAATTTGAAACATGTCAGGCACTTCAAATTGATCTCCAAAATCTTCATGCAATGATTTAATATCTTCTTCAGTTGGCATTGATGATTGCTGAGATTTATTTGGCAGATACGTGTGTGTACGATGAACATTCAATAAATTATCTGTTTTTTTCAATATGCATAACCATTCTGGATCTAGTGTTAATCGATTCGAATTTATTTTTGTGGGATTTATCGGCTCAATATCTAATACCTAAAACAGTTAATATATTTTTATTATGGTAAACATACTCGATGAAAAACAATGCCTACCTGTAGAAATTCTCTTCCCGGTAAACATTTATCTAATGATAAAAATCTTGTCACATTTCCATTATTATGTTCAACTAGTGCACTAAATTTAACATGTAAATGGGCAGCAAACCAATAATTTGGTTTTAAATCAAGAAGTATTTCTTCCAATGGTGGACTACCCAACTGATTGTTTTTAATGTCATTATAAAAATGTTTTTTATATTGTAAAAGTTTTGTTGTGTTACCGTACGATGTTATACCACGTGGCCAATCATGTGATATCACAATATCAATAGTATTTTCTTTTAATTGTTTTAATCGATAAATATCAAAACTTCTTACATGATATATTGAACGTACAGTTCTGTCTGTAAATGGTGGTGTTTCATATCGTCCAATATTGTAATCATTGGATTTATATATACCAGATATTCCACATAGACGTAAACCATTATAATTAATAACATTCGAATAACCCATATAATAAATATTTTCAGCTACCCAACCACCATAAGGTAACTCTACTAAAAAATTTGAGCTACAAAAGGAAAAGAAAATAGTGTTTTTTACTTATTAGAGATCTAGGAGAGTCAGCATTATTGTTGCAACATAAGATCAGAGTAAAAACCATTGTCGAAATTTAATTTTCGTTTCAAAGTATCACGTTTGAAAGTTCGTATGGGAAAATCTAAGACAACTTTAATTTTCCGATTTGATATTAAGATGTTCAAAAAGTATGTCGCTTCAAACCTTTTATAAAAGTGTTTTTCTCTAAACTTAGGTCAATATTTTTCATTTACTCTAAAACCATAGAGACCGCTAGACCTGAATAAAGACTATATAAAAGAAATTATTTGAGATACAAAATCTTTATCTTTCGGGATAGAATCCCTAGTTATATAAAACGCAAAAAATGAAAAAGAGATTTTCAAAATATAAATTGTGTACAGTATTCTCGTTTAAAATTCGTTGAAGTAGATGTGTACTAAAATAAAAATTATTTTCTAGCTTATAATTCTGTCGTGGTTGGTGAATGATTCAGATATTTTCTCTCTCGCGACATGGGTTATATTTTGAATCAGAGTTTTAATATTTTTTAAATGTTAACCAACTTTTTAACAAAGACTGAATCATAAATGCGTAGTATTAGCCAAAAAAAATTAATCAAGACGTCTTCAGAGTTTTTAGTTGATAAGAAATGAATCTTTGCTCAAACTGAAATAATTCTAGAAAAGATAGTTTCTTCTCTGCGAAGAGATACTCTATAATAAAATCGATCATTTCTCCTCATATGCAACATATCCATATAACAATCGCAATAGGTATAAGAAGTAGCGAAAAATGGGTGATGATAGAGAGGAAAAATATATTTTTTTCTTATATCTTTTGTTATGAAAACAAAATGTTTCCCCTTTCCTCAGACTCCACTCTATCGAGGATTGATATTACAAAACTATTTTGATGAGGAAATCTATTTTTTCTCTAAATCACCATTTTCCAGCTACTCTTCTCTTCGTTACGAACATTATAACTCAAATAACACAAGGTTTTGTTTCAATTTCATAAAATAATGTCCTACGTATGATCGTTTTTTTGGCGAACTCTCTCTCTCTAAGTAGCCAAACTTATGTGCTTACATATAAGATGTAGTATAGGTCATATGTTGAACTGTTAATTGAAAGACGGTTTCGTTAATAAAATATCCTCATCTTAGATTCACACCAACCTTTCATGATTGCCACCGATAAAAATCGTTAATACGGGTGCTTTCTTTTCACCATTATAATAACGCCAGAAATCTTGCATTGAACGATACTTTGGTGGTACAGCCATTGACTGTAAATCCTGTGTATTTCGAACAGCTTGAAAATCACCACATATCAATAACAAATCGATATGAATACTTTGTTTTTCTTCAATTTCTTTAATAGTATCATAAATTTTATCTAATTCACCGTGACAACAGCCTTCAATGGCTATTTTCATTGTTCTGATTTTTCTTGTATTAACACGAAATATTATTAAAGCATACGCTAATAAAACATCTATTTTTGTATGAAAAGCATGAGTAGAATTATTTTACATCTCAAAGTTAATATGAAACATCCAAATAATTATCTTACCTTTTTCAACATTTCTAATACTTTGCTATTATTGAATTTAGAAGATCGATAACTGTGGCACATTAAAGTAGATAGAAGAAGAGAATACACGCAGGAAAGTAAAAGAGATTGTTCAAATAAGAAATTACTTTTAATCGATAAAATAAGTACATAGAAAACTACGAAATATGAAACAAAACATTTAACTATAACAAAAAGCAGAAACAACATATTAAATTAAAATTTCACAACTTTTTGCTTTTTTTTTTGCGGCTTTGATTCCACACTTTGTACTGTTAGATTAGATTCATCATCAATATTATTTGTTGCTTGTGTCAGACACGTTAATAGTTCATCCTCAATACCTATGAAAAAAAGAACGTTGATTTCGAAAATAACAAAAAACTTTGATTGCTCACCTTGCTTCTTTAGTAAAATTGGACAATCACGTTTGAAATGTTGAACACTTCCACACTGTTTACAACAACCGCCATTAGGATATATACCATTTGGATTTTTTGGACATAGCTTCGACCAATGTCCTGTCTGACCGCATATAAAACATGTGGCATACGCATACGATTCTCCTGCAATAGACAAAACAAATAGTTTTCTTCAGGAGACTATTTCCTATTTATACCTTTTACACGACAATTTTTCACACGATGTTCTGTTGAACCACACTTATAGCATATTCCAGTTCCAATTTTAATTTGATTATCGATTTCTACCGCTTCGATTGGTTCAGTACAATCATTCATTGAATGACCAGATTGACGACATCGAAAACAAACCTAAATGAAAAGAGACGGGATGCTAAACGGATTTAAACTGATAACATACTGATGCTGACAGATCTATAAGAAAAATTTTCTACTATCTACTCTAAAGCACTACTAAATAATAGAAACGCTTACACATAAAATGAAACATTAAATGGAGGTTTAACATCTCACAACACTGTTGTAATAAAAATATAGTATGAATCAGTGTGTAATAAGCGTGGTTACATACCTTCGCCATGTCACGTTTTTGTTTTCGCTCTAAACGTCTTGATTCACTTTTAATTCGTCGACGATATTCATCATTTGTCAAATTTCCTGTTTTGAGCTGATTAAGTAATATCTCTTTAAATTCTGGATTTATTTCGGTTCGATGTTTTTGCTTTTTTGTTTGCTTCATGTTATGGGTACGTTTGTCTACCTTATTATTATGTTTATCAGAAGAATTAATAACTTCTGATGTGTGGATGTCATTCATCTGATTCATTTCCTCCCATGGTGTTGCATCTTCAGTTTTCTGCTGTTGAGATAGACGATTTTTCTGTTTTGCTATTCTAGTCATCTGAAATAGGCAAAACCAAGCCGTAATGTAATTTACGAGACTAATAGCAAATATATTTGAGAAATAATACAAATAAAATACTGTTCTAGGATTTGAACTCATTTTCTTCTCGGACAATACAAAACACCCAAAATATAACAAAAAAAAAGCAATAGTTTTTCACCTACAGAACAATAACAATGAAAAAAAATTTCAATTGCATCATTCTGTTTTTTCCTTGTTTCAAACATCAAAAATAAAACAAAAAAGATAAATCACTAACAACAAAAACAACATAAAATAGCGTAAGTTACGTTGTTTAACGGAGTCTTGAATATCAAGTATGAAAATAAAAGATCACCATCAGAAAACAACAACCATTTCCTAACCGATAAAAAAGAAATGGTTTCGAATCTAAATAATCGATTCAAATCTAATCGAATCTAATCATACAACCCCCCGCCATCCCTCCAAGTTTCCCTTAGCCAATCCTTTACGCCGCTTAAATTTGAATCTTCTTCATCTCCGCTTGTAAATGTTGTATCTTCTTCATCTGTTTCACTCTCTTCATCCGTTCTGTCATTATCACTCGCATGATTTGAACGATTAATCTTCTTCTTTTCTACACCTAATGCTGAACCAGTCATAAATGCAACTTTTAGATCTTTAATATCAAAGAATTCAAAATCATCTTTTCCGACACGTCCAATATCATCATTAATGTTTTGATTTGATTTATCTTGATGTACACTAACGGATGATGCACGCGTTCTACGTTTCACGGCTATTTCATCTTCTAATAACGTTTTTACTAAGCGAATACTATTGTCTGATAATTGATCTTGTTTATTAAAAAATATTAATAATGGTATACGTTGTTGACGAAAATGTTTGTCGATTAATATATCATATAAGTAATCGGCAACATCTTTACATTCATGTACTACGTTTGTGTTATCAACAACGAAAATGATTGCTTTAGCTGATGATTTATTACTATCAAGTTCACGTTGTCGAATACGATAATTACCGGGTATATCAATGACTGGAATTACTACAGTTCTTTTCAGTTGTCTATTCGTTGATATAGCTATGTTTGCTATACCTCTATTCGTACTCATTGAAGTAACGGTACGTCTGGCCCTATTCGTAGTAAGACGACTGAACAAGACAGTTTTACCCGAATTTGTTATGCCACATAATAATAATGAATCACCACGTTTTGTGTGTAAACGTAATTTGGCCCACCATAATATAACTAATGTTCCAAATACAACAAGAAATGTCATTAGAATAGCTAACGGAAATGGTTGGGACTGATCAATAAATTCGGAATCGTCCGATATCCCAGCATGTTTATTTCCATTGATCGATGATGACACTCTTTCGTTAGAATCCATAACTGAGCAAAATAAATTATATATGTATTCTCTGAAAGAAAATGAAAAAAGTCATTAAGTTTTTGACATAAGTTTGAAGTTTTCCATTTGCAAGAGGATACAGATACATCAACTATTACACAACAGGAAAAAATATGCTAATCTTCGAAAAACTTGTTTTTCCGATTTTCAAAATGAATATCAATGAAGTTTAATAAGTACTAATTATTAAATTTACTTTGCAAAAAGAACATTAGCTGTGACATCATAGTCCAGTAGCAGGAGTGTCAGTCGGTTCGGGCATAGATGTCAGATGAACAGTGTGTCTTTTTCTGCCACTTCAAGAGTTCCCTTTTCTAATTCTGTTTTTCAGTGTACAGTTCACAGTGCGCACGAGATGCTAGGATGCTCTAATCGGCCAGGGAGCATTTCTCATTGTTAACAATTGTATCATTCGGTTTCCATGTCTGGTGCTACACAAGCAATCGCTACTGACAGTGTCTGATCATAAGTCCCTTCGGAGGCAGGCACACTTAGCTTAGTCAGAAAAGGAAATGGTAATGTCCGACTATATATTCGTTAAAGCGGCTGTCGCAAGAATCCGGATAATCTGCAGTGACCATTGACCGTAACTTATTTTTCAAACTAATAGCCAATAAGAATTATAAGAAAGTAAGAACTTCCCAATCAGGAATACCTTAAAGTACGCACAAATCTCTTCTATAGGCTACATTTTGGAAGTTCACTTAAATTTACAATGGCAATTCGCTTTCTGTGACGTGAGTGTATCTTGCCTTAGTATTTTTAAGACTAAGATTGTTTATTCACGAAAAGTGAGTCATCAAAGGTCACCGACCTGTAATAACAATGACTCAAGCCAAACAACACCAAAATAGTAATAAAAGAAATAACAAAATAAAGAAGACAACTAAGATTAGAACCAGAAGTAGTAAAAGAAAACA